GCTGTGAAGAGTATGACAGAACAGTTACATTGTTCGTTGATAAAGTTGCTCAGCCTGTCTAGTATTTTTGAATGCTTTCTTTATGAACAGAATAAATTTCTAATTCCATTTGTTTTTTAGATCTATTCATATTTAGCACTTCCTCCCGTTCCTGGAGAGCAACCGTGTAAATGGCTCTGAATATGGTAAGGGGATATTCCCACTCCAGGTTTTTATTAGATGCTTTGGTAAAAAGGAAAACAGAAGCTTTCTCCTACTCCAGGACTAAGATTAAACTGACATAGTTTAATAGTTACGTAGTTACATAATTACATACTAGTTACATAGTTACTGTAAGTATTGATAAATCGAGGAATTTGCAGAATCTTCTTGTAGTCCCTTCCATTCTAAGGAAGCTATTGCTTGAAACGTGCTTGAAATTTTAAGCGTGGTTTATCAGCCGATTTTTAGTTGTGACATGAACATTTGCAATTAGTGAGGCCTAAATTAATTGCTATTCTTGTAACAGCATGCGTGGTGCTAGAGATTTCGCAGTATTGAAAAGCGAAGTAAAAAATAAGAAAATCCATGTTTTCAAGAGAACTGGGACACATATACATGTAACGTTCCTTGCCATGTCTGATTATTGTTCTAGATGCGAATTGCAGCACTGAATGCAAGCTCCACAATTGAGGATGACTATGAAGATAACTTTAAAAGTCATAAGACACAGACAAAGGAAGCTCAAGTACGTAAACTGACAATATTCTTATTGGACATATCTAGTGGGAATTTTGTGCTTCTTTAATCTGTAGTTGCAGGCATTTATTGGTATTTTCTGTTTGAGAAAAATCTGTTAATATCTCTTGACGTTTGACCTTAGTATGCTAAAATTTCACTGAATGGGCAGTATTGAGTCATTAAGGTTATTTCTCTGCTATACTAATAAAAACTTATCACACGACAGTGCTTCCAGTATAGATAAAAGGGAGCTGGTGTGTAGGACTTGAATCTTCAGTCTGGTGTGAGGTACCAGTTACCCTGATGTTAAGGGTGTGCTACAGACCTGTAGCGGTACCAATGTACTGCAGAATGTTTCTGCTGCTGGACAGGCTGTGCAGTGAGGTAGATCTTCCCTATGTTCTTTTCTTAACACGTGGTTCTTCATTTTTGGTGCAGGCAGCCATCAGGCTGAATAGATGCAGGTGGGGTTTAGATTTTATTTTTCATTTTTTTAAATTTTTCTTATGTTTCTAAGAACTGGATCTTAGAAGTTATTTTTGCATTTAAGATGCTCTATGGTTAGTTCTGCGCTATGACCGTCATATTTAACCAGCGGGCTGCTGCCAGCTTGACTGCCAGGTTGATCACAAAGGGAGATAAAAACTTAACTTCCATTTTGGTGAGCGAAGTGGGGTTTGTCTCCTTGATTGCCTGCCAGCTTCATTAAACTCACAGAAACATGATATTGTTGAGAACTCTATGCCTTTGTCAAATTAAACTTAATGCAGACTTCCAAAACTCTTTGAAGGGGGACTGATATATAACAGCACTACTGTTTTTCCTGGAGCCCATCTGAAAACCCATGAAATAAATGCAAAACTGATCCAATCTTGTTCAAAACTGCAAAAACACTATTATTAATTTAAAAAGGGAGGTATATTGTTATGTTAAATAAAATCACCCTACAGAAGAGGTTCTGATGTTTTAAACCACAGGAAGCAGAAGCTTTTGCTTTGTACCACAAAGCTTTGGACCTCCAGAAACATGACCGTTTTGAAGAATCCGCTAAAGCTTATCATGAGCTTCTTGAGATTCGTCTTCTGCGAGAGGTTGGTAAAATTTAGGGAATGAATACATTTTACTAACTGGAAATGTCAGTGTTTTTGTTAGGTTTTTTGCTGCCCTTTTTTTTTTTTTTTTCCTCCTCCAAACTAGTCTAATTCCTAATTCCCAGGTTGTGTTTTTTATCATTTCTAGGCAGTTCTTCCTGGTGATGAGAAAGAAGGGCTGAAACATCCAGGCTTGATGTTAAAATATTCCACTTACAAAAACCTAGCACAGTTGGCAGCCCAACGGGATGACTTGGAGACAGCCATGGAGTTTTATTTGGAGGTACAGCTGAAATAAAATAGTGGTGCCTCGGTGTTTACAAAAACTTGCCCAAATACAGAGGTACTCCATTCAGCATACTTCATGTTTGTGTGAAGTCTTAGTACCTCTAAACACTCTGTGTCATCACTTGCCCACCATTCAGTCCCCGTGCCAATACTGGTTCCGATGAAGAATAAAGCAGCGCTAATCCCCATGGGCAAGCATGTCTGAAACGCAAATAACGTTATACTTATTTTGTCTTCTAGGCTGTAATGCTGGACTCTACTGATGTCAACCTGTGGTATAAAATTGGCCGCGTAGCAATAAAACTGGTCCGCCTACCTTTGGCTCGGCTTCATGCTTGTGTGAAGTCTTAGTGCTTCTAAACACTCTGTGTCATAACTTGCCCACGATTCAGTCCCCATGCCAATACTGGTTCCAATGAAGAACTAAGCAGCGCTAATCCCCATGGGCAAGCATTTCTGAAATGCAAATAACGTTATACTTATTTTGCCTTCTAGGCTGTAATGCTGGACTCTACTGATGTCAACCTGTGGTATAAAATCGGCCGCGTAGCAATAAAACTGGTCCGCCTACCTTTGGCTCGTCATGCTTTTGAAGAAGGGCTCAGATGTAATCCTGACCACTGGCCTTGTCTAGATAACCTTGTCACAGTCTTGTACACCCTTAGTGACTATACAAGTAAGTAGAGTATGATGTTTTTCGTTTGTTTTTACTCAAGATGTATCATGTATCAACAAGAAAATGTAAAACAATGCAGTTTTACAAGTTTACAAGAAAAAATATGCTTTGAGTAAAGAGAAGGCTGAGAGGGGATCTAATTAGTGTATATAAATACCTCAAGGGAGGGAGTGCAGAGGACGGTGATGGTCTCTTTTCAGTGGTGGCCACTGATAGGACTAGAGGAAATGGCCAGAAACTGAAACATTAGTGACTATACAAGTAAGTATAGTATGGTGTTTTTTGTTTGTTTTTACTCAAGATGTGTAACTTCATGTGTCAATAAAAAATGTAAAACAATGCAGTTTTACAAGTTTACAAGAAAAAATATGCTTTGAGTAAACATATAGTACATTAGGATATGGTGGAGATTTTTACTTTATCATAAGTATGATGGTTTGCAATCAATTCTGATTATGCTAAGCAAAATATACCGTATTTGTTCTTAAACCTAAAAGTGTGGCTATGAGTGCAACTGCATTTTGATGCTGGATCTCTCTGCTTTTGATTTTAAAATGTATAAGTGTGGCTATGAGCACAACTGTGTTTTGATGCTGGATCTCTCTGCTTTTGATTTTAAAATGTCTTTTTCATTTTAAAAAAAAACTAATTTGCATATCTGTAAGTTCATCAGAGCAAATCACAAATGGTTAGCTAAGGAAGGAGAAAAGGAAGGAAAACTGTTAGACTTCCGTGTTCAGCCAGGAGTCAAGTGGGTGAATTTCACCAAAGGATACACTGTTGTTGGAAAATGCTTGAAATGCACTACAAATCATATTGTCATAGATGAAATAAAATTTGAAGTTATTTGAATTTTTTACTCCGTGGTCTGTCAGCTGTTAGCTCTTCCATAAATTATTTCATATAATAGGACCTGACCCAGAACTCTCCAAAATCACTAGAAGGTTGTATTTCACCTTAGAGCTTTTGGATCTGGTCTTATATATCCAGAACTGATTAACAGATAAGAGTGCTTTAGTTCATCAGAGAAATAAACTGTTTACAGAGTAACATTGAAATGTAACTTAGCTTTTATTACAGAAGTGATGCAAAATTTCTGGAGTTGTACATCCCTCTGGAAGCTGCAGGAAAAATCAGGAGCTGGGAGCTCTTGAATTCATTATTCAACAGAATAGTGACAACTTCTCTTCCTTTTCTGTTTTTGCTACTGGTCTGCGGAAATACTATGTTTAACTGGAGTTTAGTAGTTTATATTAAACCCCAAATGGGAGCTTTTGAATAAGCCAAAGTGGCAGATTGACGATTACATTTTTATTTCTCTGTCAGCGTGCCTGTACTTTATCTGCAAAGCTCTGGAAAAGGATTGTCTGTACAGCAAAGGCCTAGTTCTGAAGGAGAGGATCTTTGAGGAGCAGCCATGCCTCCGGAAAGATTCCCTGAGGATGTTTCTCAAATGGTGAATTCTATAGTCTATATAGTATTTGGGATATGGATTTGTTCTGAGGAGCTGGTGATATAGAGCTATTTAAGCTAAAAGAATATGCTACTGGCAGAATGTTCTGCAATAATTCCTAGGGGGTAGGGAGGGTCCATGTAAAAGAAAGAAAAAAATCTTTGCTGCTACTAACTAGGTCTTTTTAAATCCCTCTTTTTTCATTTTATTTATGCATTTGTAGCTGATATCTGCAGCATTCACATCCTCATCTGTTTTGTTTGAGGTATTTCTTTTCCTAAATCCCCCTGCAAAAAACAAAAACTTTGTGTTGAAGTGAAATTGCTCGGAGTTATACGTTGGAATGAACGGAATTTTTCAAATGTCTTTTTTGATGAACCAAAACTTTGAGCTATGAATGTTGAAAAAAGGAAAACAAAACATCTTGGAGAGTCTCCATTTCTCTTTTAATTTTTTCAGGGAAGATAGATTTCTCATGAGGATCCCTTCTATATGCTTGCTGTAAAACTGAAAAAATATTGTTCTTGGAATGCTTGTTCCAACACTGTTTACTTTTGCTACATTGTAGGAAAATCACAAATGATTATCTCCTGTTTTGCAAACACTTAACTTGTCTTCATTTCTTGTTATTTCTTAGTGACATGTCTATTCATAATGTAAATGTGAGTGCAGCTGAAACGGGAAGAATCCTAGAAGAAGCGCTGGAGCTACGTAGGAAGAGACAGGCTTTGCTCGTGCGAGAGAAAGAACCAGACCTCAAACTTGTCCAGCCAATTCCCTTCTTGACGTAGGTCTTCCTATTTTCTTTTTGCCAGTGTTTTTTCTGAAGCCACTTAGGCTGACCACTATGGTGTACCTCAAATTTCTTTAGAATTTCTTTTTCCTGTTCAAAAAAAAAAAAAAAGCTTTCATATTTTGTTGGTCTCTGGGCTGATTTCTTCTATTTGTGCTTTTAATGTAAATCCCCCGTCTATCAATTTAACATTTTGAATTAAAACTGCAGTGGAAGTAAGAAAAAGTTAAGGCTGATTTGGCAGCTGCTTCAGTCATAGTATTGGAATTTTCCTATGTTGCAAATTTGTATGTGCAATTCAAAGTAAGTTTTGCTTTTTTAAAATATTCTTATCAGATAGATAATGGAAACTCCAAAACAAATTACAGTTCTTCATTTGCAGTAAGATATATTAGAATTCTTTAATACCTCTCTATTAATTAAGAAAGTCCTTGATTTTTATTGCACATATTTGCCTTGCAGAATGTATTAATACTCAATCTGATTCTGTTGAAGAGAAGTTGCTTCTAATTGTAGATAAGATTGAGGTGGTTTGTTGATTAAATACAGAACCTGAAAATGGTTCTTTTGTCACTACTGTTTTTTTGGTATGCAATAATTACTGAGGAAACTACACTATAAGTTTTGGTTGTCTTTGGATGTTTTTTTGAGGTAAAGCACATCCCCTGTCTCTCACTTTCTAGTGCAACTGGTTTTCCTCTTGTGTTTGAAAACTTTGTTGCCTCTTCTTATTTCTGGTTGTTAAGTGGTGTATCGTAGAAAGGAAGCCAGAAAGAATCTCTGTTCCAGGTCTGACGTTTTCAGTGATCTATATGACTGACCGTGATTACTAACCATGACCATGATTTCAGCTTACTGAAAGATATCCTCCAGCTTATAAAGTTGTGGAACAGATTTTGATTCTCAGATTTTGACTGCTGCTTTGTATTCCTGTCACATCAATAATCTAGTTTTTCCCGATACCTTACAGTTAAAGTCTAACATTGAATGCTTTCAGATTTATAAATATAATATATAAAATATGGCAGAAAACAATAAAATAATGTCGTTATGCTTTCATATGCAGGTGGAAGTGTTTAGGAGAAACTTTACTTGCCATGTATCACCACCTCACAACATGTGACCCTCCTCGACCTAGTCTCGGGAAGAGAATTGATCTCTCGGAATACCGAGATCCAGTTCAACAACTGATTCTTTCTCCTACCTCTACTCCTGTCAGTGTTATTCAGCCAACTCCTGTCAACACTAATCCAGTGGCGACAATGCCAGATCCTGTATTAACTTATACTTCAGTGGCCTCCAATTTTCCAAGTCAGAATCAGAATTTATTGGAATCAGTAGTTACTGTTGGTGAACAAGGTACTTCAGTCTGAGATTCTTACATCTGGTTATAAAAAGCACTACAGGATGTGTTAGGAAATGCTGTCTTTAAATTACATATTGGTAGATTTAGAATCTTTTCAATGTTTAATACATAGTAGAAAAAGGACAGCTGAGCCCTATAAAGCTAAACTGTCTGTCTAACCACTCACATTAGGAAAGTGAAAGTCACCTGCGCTGCCTGAAAAAAATCACTGGTTAGTAACTCAGCTGTAGGACCAATGTTCATTACTTTTCTGTCTAATGGAATTGGAAGTTGGGGGTTATTTATTTGTGGGTGTGTGTCAGGGGTAGGGGATTGTTTGTTTTTCAACTGCGCATGAATCCTTAATAGTTTCTGGCTTTGTGCTATTGACTCATGCTTGAGTTTTACCATCTTTAAGATTGAATCTCATTTCCAGTAGTGATTTATTTCAATTTTGTTGAGTTTACCTTCACTCTAAGAAGGAAACTATGTTATAAGAAGTAAAGGTTATCCACTATCTTGTTTGACATTTTGACCTATGAATACCTTATTTTATTCTTTTATTAGGTGATGCGTCTTCTGTTGATAAGTCTAAGAAAGGGGTGAAGCGAAAGAGAATTACGGAAGAAAGTGGTGAAACTGCAAAAAGGAGATCGGCTAGAGTCCGCAATACCAAATGTAAAAAAGAGGAGAAAGTTGACTTTCAAGAACTGTTGGTCAAATTCCTTCCTTCCAGGTGCACTGCTTGATTATATCATAAACTGAATGTCATGTTCTGTTTTTCAGCAGCTTCTACTCAGTAAAGTTTGTGGACACATGGATTTGGATTAAGTCAGGCTATTTTATCTGGTTGATCTCGCATGAAGTTATTAAGAAAATATTCTTGTTAATGCTTTGTAAAATGCAGATTATTTTTATCCTATACAGATAGCAAGTCAGCCTGGAGAAGAGAAGGCTGAGAGGAAACCTGAGCAGTGTCTATAAGTACCTCAAGGGAGGCAGTGAGGAGGATGGTGCTGGCCTCTCTTTAGTGATGATCACTGATAGAACTAAGGGAGATGGCCGGAAACTGAAGCATCAAAAGTTCCACAGGAACTTAAGGAAAAATTTCTTAGCAGTGAGGGTGGCAGAGCACTGGAACAGGTTGCCAAGAGAGGTTGTGGAGTCTCCTTCTCTGGAGATCTTCAAAACCTGCTTGGACGCAGTCCTGTGCCACGTGCTCTAGGTGACCCTGTGTGCGCAGGGGGGTTGAACTAGATGACCTCTAAAGGTCCCTTCCAACCTCAAGCATTCTATGATTCTATGATTTTATGCAAAGTCATGGAATATATATAAAAAAACTATATATATTAAAAAGTTGCTATCTGAAGTAATAGTCCTGTTTCTTTACTTCAAACTTAATTATTCAAGGCATTAAAAGCAGGCATGTCATTTTCTAATGTTTATTTATAGAGTCTTAAGGTTCTGTAACATTGTTTTCTGTGTTAATTTGCTTTGAGATGTCATGGTTTTGAATTTTTATTGCCTTGATAAGATTTGGGAACAAGATTTAAATCTCAGAATGTGCTTCGGTTGCTGTATTTTCATTGTTAAATGTGGCATGCCATGCAGATTTTAGGTTTCACTCTCTATTGAAGGTAACAATGAGGATTTTATCAGTGTTATTTTTTGCTCCCCTTTCACCCAGATTGAGGAAACTAGATCCAGAGGAGGAGGAAGATCCTTTCAATAACTATGAGGTGCAGTCAGAGATCAAAGAAGAGAATTTCCAGCATGTCGGACCACATAGAATGTCATTTGATTCTACAACATTTATGGAATCTGGTAGGGATTTCATTGTAAATTTCCTTTTTTGTTGATTCATTCCTTTCCTATGCTTCATTTTCTGCATCTTCCTGTCTAATGGCCAGCAGATACAGAAGAATTATTATTCTAATAGGTGTTCCCATTTGAACATAGTAGAATGTAGTAACTTCATTCAGCAGATACACAGCACAGAAAAATTACCATGGCCTTTCTGCAAGATTGGTGTATATCACTTGCTGTTGAAACTAACTTGATTCAAGTCATTTCTGTCTTGGTCTTAAACACATATGGTTTTGTATCAATCTGCTTTCCAGAGAAACAAGAAGTTCAATAACCTGAACAATGGTGGGATATTGGAGCTGATGATGAGATATCTAAAAGTAATCAGCCAAAAGTTCCTGGTAAAATGGCCTCCGGGCTTAGCTGAGGTGGTTCGTAGTATCTATAACAGCTGGAGAAAGCACAGTAATAGTCTTCCCAATCCTTTACTGAGAGACTCAAGTAATCAACATATAAAGGTAACAAAGTACTCCATATTATTTCCACTTAGTGATGATCATGCTAGGCATGGGCACCTGCAATGCTTGTTTAATGAAAAATATTTCTTTGCATGCATAAGGTGTCCAAGATTAAAAGAATGAGGATGTCACTTTTTTTTTTCTCCAAGATCAGACATTTCTTTGCTGACTACATTATTTTATGGTATTTATGGTTTTAATGAGATCTTAAAATACCATTCTTTGCTAGTCAGCAAAGAAATGCCCGATCTTGGAGAAAAAAAAAGTGCCATCCTCATTCTTTTAATCTTGGACACCTTGTGGGCTCCCCAGGAGGGCTGTGGAGCTGCTGGCGAGAGTCTAGCGCAGGGCTACAAGGATGATCAGGGGCCTGGAACATCTGCCCTATGAGGAGAGGCTGAGGGAGCTGGGCCTGTTCAGCTGGAGAAGAGAAGGCTGAGAGGGGATCTAATCAGTGTATATAAATACCTCAAGGGAGGGAGTGAGGAGGATGGGGCTGGCCTCTTTTCACTGGTGGCCACCGACAGAACTAGAGGAAATGGCCAGAAACTGAAGGATCAAAAGTTCCTTAAGTTCCCACAGGAACTTAAGGAAAAATTTCTTAACAGTGAGGGTGACAGAGCACTGGAACAGGCTGCCCAGAGAGGGTGTGGAGTCTCCTTCTCTGGAGATCTTCAAACCCGCTTGGACGCAGTCCTGTGCCACGTGCTCTAGGTGACCCTGCGTGTGCAGGGGTTGGACTAGGTGACCTCGAGAGGTCCCTTCCAACCTTAAGCATTCTATGATTCTATGATTCTTTTGTTGCTCCTTTTAAGTGTTGTGTGGTGTTACACTTACTGCTTTTAAAAGCAGTTAAAGATTAGCAGTTAAGCTACAGCTTAGAACAGAAATCACATGATGTCAGTTTGAAATGTCTGCTTTTAAATAAATTGCAAATTCAGTTTATTTGTTTTTCTTTATTTCTGTAGACTTTCTTGATATATTCGTGTATTCTTTATCTTTTTTTATTTTTTTTCTTCTTTCAGGATATGATGGTGATGAGTCTTTCTTGCATGGAATTGCAGCTAGATCAGTGGCTACTGACCAAAGGGAAGAGCTCTACAGGTGGGAATCATGTATTTCTTGCGTTAGTTTCTAAAAATAATCTAGGTAAATGAAGAGCTTTGTTTTTTTTTTTCCTTGAATTCGTTAGATTTCAGAACTTTATTTTCTTAAAATACAGATCTGAAAAGATAACTCATCTTTTTATTTATGAATGTTTGCATTAAAAGTAGATCAGTGCTTTTGAGATACTGGTATGTGGAAGGCTCTTCATGCTAGTAATTTTATCATAAAGTATAATTTATTGATTTGCAGTTTCTCCACGAAATTGCCCTACTGCCTCTATGAATGGAAAGTTTGGTCCTGACTTCCCAGGAACTCATTTTTTGGGAGACCTATTGCAATTGTCATTTGCATCTTCGCAGCGAGATCTATTTGAGGAAGGATGGATGGAATTTGTGACTCGAGTGTATTGGCTGAAAGCTCGCTTCCTAGCACTGCAGGTTGGTTATACTTTTGAATTTAACTCATATCAACTTTCCCAGTAGTTAAGACCAATGCTGCTCAGGGACATCTCCTTTAAAAGTAGGAGTAAAATCAATTTGGAACATACTTTTTTAATCTTACTACTTGGTATAACCATTTTTCCCTAAGAGCAGAGATGGGAGAGCAGAGGTGGGAGTGAAGCAGGAATTCACATATACTAAGCTTCTGTTCAGATACGTGCTTACAGAAATATATTTAGACCAAAGTGTTTTTCTGTACTGTTTCTGTAGGGTGACATGGAACAGGCACTTGAAAATTACGATATTTGTACTGAAATGCTACAGAATGCCACTGCAATGCAAACCCAAGCTGGTGATATGTGCAGCATTGTAATCCGGTTACCTAATCTACATGTTGATTCTCTTGTTTCTTTGGAAGAGGTAAGACTGAATTTGTAGGTGTATTCTTCCTCTCAGTTTCAAAGGTCAGCAATGCAGTATCTCTTTTGTGAAGGGAGCTTATTGTACTTAATTTTTCTAAGAGTGAAAAGCCAAGTTCATAGTTAAATGAGGACACTATTTCCTTTTCAGAAATATGCTTTTTGGATCTGTTGGTTCTGTACAACTTAAGGTTGTTTTTATGTAAAATGAAAAACATTTTTATTAAATCTGCTGCATATAGAACAGTAGATTGTTACATTAACATTTTATTTTCAAACTGTTCTGAAACTTATATTTCACTATTGTTTATATGAGCTCTACTTCAGTAGTCAATGTTTTCTACATAAAAAATGCATATACTTTCAAAGAAAGGAATTTCAATCTTCCATTCTTTTCCTGCAGTTATTGGGGATGAACACCAACCCAGGTGATGCTATCTTCATTTTGAAATCCTTCTAATGAGTTTTCTTGCTCTGAAAAAATGTGTGATTTGGGTTTTGGGTCGGAAGGAGGGTAATTGAGGTTAAAGTTGTTATGACACCATTTGTATGTAAAAACTAAAATGTAATTATTAAAAATCTGTGAGATGCGTTGTTACATAGTTGGTGGGTTTTTTTTTTCCTAGTCCATATTTCTATTTGTAGCTATAGAGCTCAAATATCTTTACAGCTAAACTGTCAGAGGAAATGTCAGTAGTCCAAATGCCTGTGAAAGTAAAATGAGTGTTTGAGTGTGCCATCTGTGATATTTACAGATTGATAAGAACCTGAAGTCTCTGGAGAGATGCCAGTCTCTGGAAGAGATCCAGCGACTGTATGAGTCAGGAGATTACAACGCAGTGGTGCATCTGCTTCGTCCAACGTTATGCTTTAATGGTTATGGCAGGGCTAAACATCTGGAATTTGTAACATCCATACCAGAGAGACCAGCACAGCTGCTTCTCCTGCAGGTTTGTTTTGCTTCTTAAAAACAGCCTTTCAGTGAGGGATTAAGATTTGCAGCTGTTTTATTCCTAAAAACAGGATGAAAAGATTTGGAGAGTGGGTGTTAATGGGTAATAAGTCTTATTTGCAAAACAAACCATGGAATCAAAGCTGTAAATGATCCAAACAGCAGAGCTTTATTGGTGTCAATATAGCGGTTGTCTACAGTATATATGTGTGTGTGTGTGTGTGCGTATGTATATATAAAATAATGGCATCATACACACACACACACACACACACACACACACATATAATGGCATCAATATAACTTATAGTCAATATAACTATTTTACTGAGAATGTTGATAAGGTATAAGGTACCTGAGGCCTATATGAAATCACCAGAAGGATCATCATTTCTAATAAATTTGAATCATTTGTAGAAGCATCTTATGATTTCGTACTTAATCCATCAGAAAAATACAGTGATGATATTCTGGAATGTACATCCTACTCACGTGTTCATCATACAATATCCATGTTCCTCCTCCTTTTTTATGTGATATTTAGAGGTGTTCAGTTATTATCCCATTAAAGCAGCCATATTAATGCTGTATAGTGCATTTCTTTGCATTTGTGGTTTGAAGCGAATCCTTCTTCCTTATAGTAGACTTTTCCTATGTACATTCCCTAGGAGTCCCTGCTCAAACTGAAGGATTACAAACAGTGCTTTGAATGCTCCGAAGTTGCTTTGAATGAAGCAATTCAGCAGATGATTAACATGGCAGCAGCCTCTGCTAAAGAAGAGTGGGTTGCTACGGTAACACAGCTGCTCACAGGAATAGATAGTTCCTTGTCCTCAGACAGCAGCATCCTGGAGGAGTCTTCCTTAACGCCAAGCCTAGTTCGATTGACAAACAACCTCATTCAGGTAGCCTGGTCACCCGCACTTAAATTGCCATGGCTGTCACTTGTAGTGACTGTTTGTATGAGATTTTGGTGGGGAGGGGAGTGGGTGTTACCTTCATCATCTTACCTTTCATTTCAATGTGTTAGACACATACTGATCACCTGCTCTAGGGTCAGTAACAGTAGCTAACTTTAAACACTGATCTTGCAGAGAATAGTAATAAGCCAAAGAGCAAGGCTGTTTCTTATGCTGTGTTTGTAACGGTGATGATGCCAGGATTGGTTTAGTTGGCTAGGGCTGATTTTTGGCACCGATTTGAGGCTATATGTGTCTTGGACTAGAAAAAAAAGCCCTCGGTCTTAGGCATGTGACACACTTCTAAGTTCTGTTCCAGCTAAGTGTGGCTCAAATCAAAATTTGAGAGGGCAGGGAAAGAAAAAGGTGTCTAGTTAAAAAGTCAAAAATAAGCAATAGCCATTTCCTTGCCATGTAATAGATGAATGTATCTGTTTCCTTACTAGATCATAGACTGCAGCATGGCAGTCCAGGAAGAACCCAAGGAACCATACGTCTCCTCGGTGCTTCCATGGATTATCCTGCACAGGATCATCCAGCACGAGGAAGATGCATTTCGATCCCTTTGCTGCCAGCAGCAGCAACAGCAGCACCAAGAAGAAGGAGGTAACTTAATTATTTGCATTTGCATGTTAAGTTTTGTTCTTCATCATCTACTTCTAGAATATGAATGGGAAGTTTCTTCTGGCTATCTCTTATTGGGTGAAGGGAGTAGAGAGTTATATAAACATCATATTCTAACTGTGGAGGGAACTCACTGTAAGACCAGTCTCTTCTTTTTGTGCTAAATAAAGTAGCGGATACTTGTTTTTAACTTGGTTTCTGTATTATTTAAGTATTTACCATCATCTTTCAGTGAGTCCTGACACCCCTATGCTACCTTCTTCTCTCATGCTGCTGAACACTGCTCATGAGTATTTGGGAAGAAGATCCTGGTGTTGCAACTCAGATGGAGCTCTTCTCAAGTTTTATGTAAGTATGAGTATCATGGAATAATTTAGGTTGGAAAGAACCTCAGAAGGTGATCTGTCCAACCTGCATCTCAAAATATGACGAACTTAAAAGTTGCTTATTACATTGCTAATGCCTGCATGTTAAAAATATATATTATACGTACATGTATATTTAATTCTACTTTCTTTTTCCAACCAAGCACACAAATATTTTGGTCAATTTAATTTGGGGCTTGTTATTCCATACTCATTTTATTTTATTCTATTTTGTATATTCAAATAATGGTTTGCTCAGTAGCAGCTCTAATTCTCAGCTGTCCTCTAAGATCTTGCTTTTGATTTGAGAAAGGTAAATGCATACCCTGATCCTACTAGCTAGACAGAGGGAAGCATGAATGATGTCAGGAAAAATAAGAAGCAGTACCAAAGATCCATTTTCTCTGCCTGCTTCTAAAATGTGTTGGTGGAGGGTGAGCTGCATGTGTGCATGGAACATGCTTCCCACTCCAGTCTTCAGCAGTGACCATGGCTGCTATCCCCTGAGCAGGAAACAACGCAGGCAGGAAGGATAAATACCTGCTATACCTTCCCCAGAGTTCAAATGTTTGATAAAGGTTTGGCAGTTAAAAGAATAAACAATCAATTGCATTAGAAACTAAATTCTACACAGTGTGGCACAGGTGAGACAGACATGACACAATGGTGCAAACTCATGCTTCTTCCTGCCTCCTGTTAATCAATTCAGATTTACTTTTGTTTTTTCACTAGTCCAATGATAGAAAGATAAACGGGATTTGAAGTAACAGATTAAGGAGAAAAGGGAATAGAAATACTCAATGCAATATACTTGTTTCTGTGGAATTGCCTTGCTGAGAAGAGTAATTTTCCTCTTCAGCTCTTGATATATTTAGCTTATTTGATTATATCCAGGCTGATTCTAATCTGCAGACTGAAAAAAAAAAAAAAGTAACATTATTGTTCTCATGTTATTAACTGAATATAATTTTGAACATACAACTAGAGCTGCTCTATTGAATAAAATTGAGAACCAGTGATTCTGTAATCTTTGGCTGATCAGGAGCACACAGCTTTGTTTGCATGTCCATCCTCCTTTGCTTTGTGCTTGAAGCCTGTTCTTTGCCCCCTTGTTCAGGTGAGTCTGTTAGAGGTCTAATATGCTTGGGAAATGGTGCCCAGGCAGTCAGGCCACAGCATTACTAGATGCAGAGGTGTTAGCAGCTCATTGTCAGCTTTTTTATGATTATTCCTTGAAGCTTAATTACTGCACCAGTGAAGAATCTTCCCCTGGTTGAAGCAGAATATTTGTAAGTGTGTTGCTGTTTCCTCCTGCTTTTCTTGGCTTGGAAAATTGAATTACTGTCAGCTTTTCACTCCAGAGCAGTGGGAGCCTGGGATGCCCTGAGTGCTGGTGAAACCCAGATAGTGCCGTACTGTGGCATTCATGGAGCGCTGCGTACGGGGATATTTCAGTGGCACTTCGCAGATTCAGCTTGACTTCATTGAGGTTTATTACCATCAGCTAAGAGGAAATGATTAGTTCTGCATAGAGCTACTCAGGAATCTCTTCATTTTGTTTCTCAGCACTCCCTGGAGCTTGTTAAGCACAGCTCAGTGCCAGAGCCCATCCACCTCTGCATTTGAGCAACAATGTGTCCAGGCCAGTAATTTAAGCAGCCAGGAAGGATAGTGTGGAGAGCCTGAGGGCTTCTGTGAGAGTCATCTCTCTGTGGCAGGGCTAGAACTAATGAACAGAGTTGGAGCTGAAGCTGCTGCAGTGTGAACTATTAGATTACTTCTGCATCCAGCTCTCCTCATTCTTCTGAGTACTGGGAGCACAATTCTGGTACACCTGAGGTGCCTTTGCATGGAGCTGCCTTGGGTCCAGAGGCTTATTACAGCTCAGGTGCTGCACTTCATGAAAATAAATAAGCTATATCCAGGCTCAGATGTTTCTAGGACGTGCTCACCCTCGATGCAGTGCAGAAGCATATTATGAGCAGTGCTGCTCAGTGCTGAATTTAAATTGTCTGTGCATGGTGTGCCTGCACCCGAGCCTGGTGAATCTGATCATACCCTGTGAACCTGGAGAACCTGCAACTAACTAAGAGCTGAATATATTTGCAGTTAGATCTTTGCAAATGTTGTCATGCACTTTGAAAGAAATCTTTGATTTTTTTCAATTGTAGAATTGACCACTTCCTAAACTGAAATATAATTGGGTATTATTTATCACAAGCAACTAGTTTTCAAAGACAAAAGGATTCTGAAAGAGTGAGGAAAGGCAAAAATGGGATGAAGTATTTAAAGAGAAAGAGGGCTTCAAGTATGCTGCACACTGCTGTTTCATGGATTATCCTTGCAGTAAGAGATGTTCATCTTCTATCAGTGAACTGTCTGCTTGAATATGTTGGTTGTGGCTAAAGAAGATGGTGTTAATGAAAGATGTTAGCGTATAGTTAACTCCTTTAGCAATAGTCAGGGTCTGAATTATTAAAAACAATTCTAGCTTGTAGCTAAGAATTCAAAGGCTGAGTAGGAGCATAGAAGGTTGTTAGAAATGCTGTTCAGATAATAATTCTGTCCTAGTGCTAGAGTGATTTTTTGTTTGCAGCTGTACAATGCTTTTGTTGTCGTTTTTGGTAATGTTTGCATCTTCCTTTCAACATATCTATGCTACACATTTCTTAAATTTCAAACTTGTTCAGAGATTCAGAAAAAGCTATGGTGCCTGCTGTGACTCCTTTGTGATTGCTATGACTCAAAATTTCATTGCAGTGCTTTCTAAGAATTGTCTTTTTCTGCACTTATTTTTCTGTTTTTTTTTTGGCTCTTAAAAATGGTGTCTTAGCACAAATCTTTACAAACTTAGAATTATTTCCTAGCACTTATGGGTAAGTTTCTTGTATTCAGAATGACAGACTTCCGCCTTGTGATGATCCTATTATACTGCCAGGAAAGCCAGGCGTGAGGAGCCTATTGTAGTGTGTACTGCCTGTTCAAATGGCTGAGGTTGTAATCCTAGTGTGTGTTGGAAAAAAGGTAAGTGATGATAGGCAACTGAAGTACTTGAAATATGATGACAGTCCCTTATAACAATCACAAATGGATGAAAATGGAAAAGGAAATGCGAGAAATTTTGAAATGACCTGAAGCTTGAAACATTAAGAGTCCATGAATTAACGGGGAAAAAGGGCATTTTGTTGCAGCTGCTCTACCATTGAAATGATTTGTGTTAGATGATTAATTTACCAAAATATGGTGAATACTTGGTTTACTAAGAAAAAATATGTACAGATCCTATGCTGTTATCCTCTATCTCTAGACAACTAGGTAAGTTAATGCAAGTTTCAGATCTCAGTTGATTTGTTCAATAACGTTTGTGATGTTCTAGGTTCAAGTATTAGAAAAAGAACTTGCAGCATCTACTTCTGAAGATACTCATCCATACAAAGAGGAGCTGGAAACAGCCTTGGAACAGTGTTTTTATTGCTTGTATGGTTTCCCTAGCAAAAAAAGCAAAGCAAGGTACCTGGAAGAACATTCTGTGCAGCAGGTAAGATGTATTGTTTAATGTCAGGGAGGTATCCTAAAATGGTGAGCCTTGTTTGGTTTTAATCTATTTAAAGATGATTTATGAGAAAGCTAAGATTTCATTTTCTCAAAAATGATTGGAAAATGTTGTGGAAAGTAAAAACACTCTTGGGGACTTTCTTAAAAACATGAAAGACTTTATTGATATAGAGGGGTGAGATGCCTTAAAAGAAATGTTAGTACAGTCTTATTCACAACAGTGCCATTTTGAAACTATTGACAAAATGATTTTAATGAGCCATGACTTTCCTGTTTTCAACAGAGAACTTTGCGCTCGAGAACAATAGAGAGGAAAATGTCAGCTTGAGAGAAGAACTTTAGCAGCCAGCCTTGCAGTTTATGAATATGAAAAAATGTCACTTTTTAAAATGATGCAAGTAAATGATACTATAGCTTATTTTGCAATCTCTATGAATATTTGGTAGCTGATTTGTCACATATGCATGGAATTCAGTTCAGTTTGAGGGAACAACTACAAAATGCCCTGGAAAGGGGATTTCAGTTTTAAGAGAGAAAAGAGCAGGTCAACAATCCTCTGTCTGAAGCACAATTGACTTGTTAAAAACCTCAGATGATTCTGCATTTATCAAATGTAAGTGGTTACAGAATTATAAATGAATAAGTATTTTATTCAGTCAAAACAATTGTCTGGCGGCTTTGACAGGCCTTTTAAAATTCATTTAGTACTTGTGATATTTTTTTCTCAAACTTATCTTCAAAAAATAAATAAAAAGATAGAAACAGCTAAGGAAAAGAGAATTAGTGGATGAATACCCTTGGCCAGAAACAGTCTTGTCCCACTGGGCACCTCTGGATTAAAAAGTCCATACTGAGATAGTTGACAGTATGATTTTTTTTTTTTTTTAGTACACCTGCGTTTTTCATGTTTTCCGTAGAGAAGCAGAATTTCCTGGGAATGAAATGAAGGAGGGGGAAAAAAACCCAACAAACCTCAGCCCAGGAGAGGAAAACTGTGAAAAACACACTTTATCAAGAAGAAAAATGAAGGCGGAAAATGAGGAATGAACTGAAGTGAAAGTACATTTCTTCAGAGTCTTAAAACTCTGAGTCTCAGACTTTTGTCTGGCAGCCATTTAATTTATTTGCCTTGAGTTTAAAATTTGAGTTGTAGAGCCAGTGTAGCTTTTCCCTTCTTTTATTTCTTTCCAGAATCTCAGGGTCACTCAGGATGCTTGCAGTTGATTCTTGCCCGTTTTCAGTAGGATTGACTAAGCTACAGCCCAATGCCTTAGTCTTTAATCGGAGAGCAGTTAATGGGAGCAGCATATAATGACAGTAGTTTTAATTCTCTTTTTGTGAGGTTTAATTTGTTTCCTCCTAGAGTAATATGTATTTTGTGCTAACCAAAATAGTCAAAAAAACTAACCATTAGTTGACCTTTGAATTTTGGAGTTTGAGATAATCTTTCCCTCTTGTTTTCTCCCTCCTCAGGTGGATTTAACATGGGAAGATGCCTTGTTTATGTTTGAATATTTTAAGCCTAAGACGCTTCCAGAGTTTGACAGTTACAAAACCAGGAGGAGTAATATGTATTTTGTGCTAACCAAAATAGTCAAAAAAACTAACCATTAGTTGACCTTTGAATTTTGGAGTTTGAGATAATCTTTCCCTCTTGTTTTCTCCCTCCTCAGGTGGATTTAACATGGGAAGATGCCTTGTTTATGTTTGAATATTTTAAGCCTAAGACGCTTCCAGAGTTTGACAGTTACAAAACCAGCACTGTGTCTGCTGATCTGGCCAACCTTTTGAAGAAGACTGCAACAATTGTTCCCCGAACAGATAAACCTATGCTGAGTTTAGATACTGTCTCTGCCTATATTGAAGGAACATGTAGCAAGGTATAACTAACTGTTAGTTATAGAAATTAGAAAACTATTAGACTATTCATTTAACTACTAGAAAAATAGTTAAAGAAGTCTAAGGAGGAAAAAGATGTTTATTTTCATGTTGACTTTGAGTTTGTTTGGGGAGTGAGTACCTTTTGATGTTGGATTTCCTCCATGAACTGCATTTAAGTGAGATGAGAATAATGCTGCCAGAGCTGTAATGCTGATTAACATGGAGTTAGTATGAGATATTCATTAGTGTTAATATGCTCTAAAGCTATGAAATGTTTTCGCTCTCTTGATACTCAATAGCTTTATGTTTTTTGACAAACAAAGCTATTTTCACTTCCAGAAAGAAGCAAGTGTGCAGCTCTTGTAATATGTAGGCTTTATTAACCTCTAATTATGAATTTGCTTATTTTTCAGGCCCCATCTCTCCCAGATGGTGCAGACTATTCTCCACCAGTAGTGACCGAGTTGTACTATCTTCTGGCAGACTATCATTTCAAGAATAAAGAACAATCTAAGGCCATTAAGTTTTACATGCATGACATTTGTATTTGTCCAAACAGGTCGGTATTGTTGAATTGCTGCATGTAATCCATTCTTCTCATTTGTTTAGTATTAAAAAGCTCAAATTTATTTCTGTGTCAAGAGTAAAGCGCCTAAGAGATTAACTATTTAGATTTACTCTTTTCTAAGATTATTTTATTTTGCTGCTAGAGAACCACTCAGAATCAAGCCCAGCAGCTGAGTGATGCTTAAAATTAGCACTTTTTTCTTGCTAGTTTACAGTTGATTGAAATACCACTGAGATTTTTTTTTCTCTTAACAATAAAGTGTGCTTTGGGAAACACTCTTTAGACTGAACTGCAGAAATCTTAAAACCCTAGCTTGAATGGTTTGAGAAAGCAAACTATTTCTGAGTTCAGGGCCACTGCAGAGACAAAAGGGAACATGAAGACCCAGAGCAATTTTATAGATGTAGTTTAATGTTATTGAATCTGCTTGCTTGAGAACTGCAATTAGATCGCTAAAGCTTTTTTTAAAGCCTGATAAACTTAAAAAAATTTTATGGATTGATGGGATTTTTTAAACACTAAGCTTATAAATAAATGATTGTGCAATGCAGATTGACTTTAATCTATGAAATTTTGTTGCTCAGAGGAAGCTTAGTGTGGAAGTTGCTTCTTCAGTTGTGTGTATTGCAGGTCGCTTTCCGTTCTGCCCAGGAATTTCTCTATTAAGGTCACTTGACAAAGGATTAGATTGTAGTTGAAATAAGCAAGCAAAAATGTGAAAACATTATGAATGCCACTGTTCCTTTTGTGTCAGAATCATGGTATAATTGAAAAATTCCAGAGTCATTGACCCCAAATGTTAATTTGAGATTACATAAAGTGGAAACTACACTTCACACTGTATTGTCAGGATTTAATAAACAAGGCTGAATAATTATCTTTCTCCTTAGAAACCCATCTTTCTAGTTCATCAAAATTTGCCTTTAGGGATATATTTTGGTTTGTGTGATTTCTGTTTTGGAAATTGATGCTGATGATAAAAATCATTCACCTTTCAGTCCAGCACTATAAATTGTCATAAAGGGCTGCAGAAATAACAGGACGTTTGGACAGGACAACATGGCTACTTAGAAAAGGAATCAACAGGCATGTTGCTCTTGGAAATATGGATATACTTCTTTTGTATGGCAAATAACTGAAATTAGATTTGCATATGTAATCAATATTGAAGGTAGTGCTTTTTTCAGAAACCATTTTTAATAAAATCAGTACAATTTAGGTTTGTACAGAGTCTTTATTGCTGTGAGAAGGAAGAAAAGATACAGAATCTGTTTTGAAAGAGCACATGAAGAAGAAAATTGGAATATAGTAAACTGAAAGTTGTCTTTGTCATTCAAGGTGATGCGTAGGGAGTGGTTCATGTCTGACATTTTTGCTTGCACAGGTTTGATTCATGGGCTGGCATGGCTCTGGCTCGAGCAAGTCGTATTCAAGACAAGCTGAACTCTAACGAACTGAAAAGTGATGGCCCCATCTGGAAGCACTCTACTCCTGTCTTGAACTGCTTCAAGCGAGCCTTAGAGATTGACAGCTCTAATCTCTCACTGTGGATTGAATACGGCACCATTTCCTATGCCCTGCACTCGTTTGCATCCCGGCAGCTTAAGCAGTGGAAATCGGAACTTCCCCCTGAAGTTGTGCAGCAGGTGGCTGCTCATTTAGAGCAAACTTTTAAAGTTATATAATCTTTTAAACCAACAGCTTCCTAATTAAATACGTTCTCTATACTACATCTTAGACTGTATGTATACTAATTAATAGCAGAAACTCTCATATTTATTTGTATAAATTGGTGTCAAACATTACTTGAAGTTTTATTGTGACTTATTTTCTAGAAAAAAAATCAGTTTAGTCTTGATGTTTGAATTATCTTTTATAGGTTCTACAAAATTATCTAAACCTTTTGGATATGCACTTAGGCATTTTTAGGTGCAGGAGTGTTTTTTTGTTTGTTTTGTTTTGTTGCAGTATTTGTCTCAGGCAGAGCAAATACATGTATTTTCAATGGTGTGTTCTGTCATAGATGGAAGAGCGCCGAGACAGCATGTTGGAGACAGCCAAACTGTGTTTTACATCAGCATCTCGCTGCGAGGGAGATGGTGATGAAGAGGAGTGGCTTATTCATTACATGCTGGGAAAGATTGCAGAGAAGCAGAAACAGCCTCCTGTTGTCTATCTACTTCATTACAAACAGGCAGGCCATTACCTGCATGAGGAAGCTGCGCGATATCCAAAGAAGATTCACTACCATAATCCACCAGAACTTGCCATGGAGGCACTGGAGGTAAAAGTGGAAGTAAAATACCTAGACTTGCAAACATTGTTCCTTACAGATAACAGAATTCAAGTTGCTGTTTGCTCTTGTCAGGTGTTCATGTTGCTTTGCATCTGGGAACATTTGTGAGATTAATGCAGAATAGAATCAAATGTGTTATCCAGACTGCTGGAGTTTGCTGTGCTCAGTTCACTAGTCAGTTTTCAGATCTGTGTGTGGGTAGATTTCACCATTATCTCATCTCTCTGACAGCATAAGGTCAAGCATCTATTTGAGTAATACTTAGAACAACTTTGCTTCCACTCTGCAGGCTGGTAAAAATAATGTATTTGAAACCTATCAAGTGGTAACTATCCACATCTGCTTTCATTGCTGTGTTTCATCATTTGCAAGGGAGTTGTTGTTCTACTTTACAAGCAACTTAAAAAGGCACGAAAAATCCTGTTTAAGTAAGTTTAGGTAGCAGACAATTGTCCAGTGGTAACCATCCACATCTGCTTTCACTGCTGTGTTTCATCATTTGCAGGGGAGTTGTTCTTCTACTTTACAAGCAACTTAAACAGGATTTTTCGTGCCTTTTAAAGTAAGTTTAGGTAGCAGACAATTGTCTTTGCAAGCTCTTGCAGTTCCTACAGAGAAGGACCACAACTGTAACTATAGTTACAAATTTTCTACTGGCTGATTAGACTTTGGTGTTTTCTAGGTGTACTTTCGACTTCATGCTTCTATTTTGAAACTTGTGGGGAAACCAGACTCTGGAGTAGATGCAGAGATACTGGTTGGTTTCATGAAAGAGGCTTCTGAGGGACCATTTGCCAGGGGTGAGGAGAAGAACACCCCAAAAGTTGCAGAAAAGTGAGTGCTAATTTCCAGGAATATCCTCTGAAAGCAAACGTGTTCAAAATAAGAGCAGGTTATTTGTGTGAAATATCTCTCCATACAGCTGTGTGAATGCTAAACTACAATATAAGAATTTTTTAAATGAAGGTAGAAGAGATATCAACCGAACAAAGTGATTAGAATTAACTTCAATATAGATTCCAGGTATCATATACAATTAGATTGTATGCGAATCTGCAGTCTTTTCAGTAATTGACGCAGTGTAGGCAGCAAGGAAACAAATTGGAGTGACTATTATCTTGTGATCTGTTTTGAAGCCACTGTCTTTATTAATAAAATTATTTTTAACTATAGGCAGACCTAAAAGCAAAATTCTGGGGATAGCTTAAGTAAGAGACTTTAGAATTTCAGTCCTTGAATTTGTCTTGCTAACAATTGGAAGATAAAGAATGTTTCCTTATTGATCAGTAATAGGGAAAAAATTAAGCTCTGGCTTAAAAAGTAATTTAGAATTTTCTAGTAAGATTTGATTACTGTATTGGAAATATTGCGCTCTCTAATTTTTCTCCCTCATTCCAGGGAAAAGACTTGCATGATTGATGAAGACTCTCATTCTTCAGCTGGAACAGTGCCGGGCCCTGGAACTTCCCTCCCCTCCTCCTCTGGTCCAGGTCTGACATCCCCACCTTACACAGCCACTCCAGTTGACCACGATTACGTCAAATGTAAAAAACCCCGTCAGCAGGCAACGCCGGACGGTACAGTCCCTGTTCTCAATACTGGCAGCACAGGGAGGTGCTCTAATCATGGGGGGTTTGACCAGGAATGATCAAACTGCTCATTGAAGGAGGGTGATGGGTCTGTGGTAACACGGGCAATATTGAAGCTCATTATTTTTAAAGATTCACAATGCTTTAAATAGAATCAATGCACAGTCAGAGCTTTAAATACAAAATTCAGAGTTGTCACCTGCCACTATTGACACCTGTCATTTACTCTGAATGGGAGTATTGAGACGAATTTGCAGCTGACTGCATTTTTGGTATTTCTCCCATCTCTAGAGAAAAATGGCTGCCTCAAGTTTATTAGAAAAGATGTGGATTTGGTCTTTAGAAAACTGGAGCAAATTTAAATGCCTGTGTGAACCAATTGGGTGAAAATTTGAACTGTGGCTGAGAAGTCAAAGAAAAAAAAATGCAAAAGAAGGCAGGATTATCCTTTTTGAAGAAGGCAGGTGGCAACTACATTGAATGTATCATGTTATCAACACAAAGTGATTTGCATGGTAGTCCTGTAGATTTCATCTTTTAATTTTTTCTTTATCATTTACAGTGACTGGTTAGCAATTCATCTTATAAAGTGTTAACATAAATAATTGGGTTATAAAACCAGAAGGTAGGGCATTGTCACAGTGTTACTGCAAAGCTTTTGTAATATAATACGCTTATATATTAGAAATTATGTTACTGTTTAACCTTACACTATTTTTTTGGCTAGAAATTTTATTCTGAGTCTACTCTTCTGGCAATTTGTTTTCTCATCTGGATCTGCTATACAGCACTCAGGAATAAGCAAATTAATTTGCAATTTATAGCTTAGTGTTGAGAGAATATGACAGGCCTCATAGAAGTTCTCAGCTTGAAACCAGTTTATTTCTGGAGGGAGGGCTGCTTGCAGGCTTGTGGTCATTTTTTTGGAAGAACAATAGTCATAAAATATTTTTACTGATGCAGTTTTGAAACCAACATGCACATGCCTGGAAACTCTGCAAGGTGAATTTTTTCCTTTTTCCCTAATGGATAATTCTTGGAGGAACTGGCAAAAGTTCCTTCTGCCCTTTCACTACATTGTGTATAGAGATGTTCATTTTCTCCATGCTTACATTTCAATCTGAAGTAATTCATTACACTGTTTTTGGTATCATATGTAATTTATTAATGTGAATAAGTTACTCGGTGGTCAGACTCTTCTATTATTTAGCCTTATGATACCTTCTTGACAAGGCAAACAGCAAGAGAGCAAATATTTAAATATATTCTAAATAGTGTGTCCTAGGAGGAGCAGTTCTGCCTAAGACTACATCTGTTTTGGTCCTGCAGACTGATGGGACGTTCCCAGGAGACAGATAAGTTAGATGCATATTCAGGGATTTGCCATTAGTGCATTCTCTCAAAGTAAGGTATTCTGGGCTGTGGCATCCTAATTGCCTGATGGAGCAAAGCTGGCTCCTTAGCAGAGCCTGAAGGTGCAGGCTGAGGAACATCTCCACCTGTCAGGCCTGAAGGAGCTGTTCTTGGGTCTGCTGGCTTAGCTAGTTGGCGCGTAGCAGCACTGCTGTCACAGCAATTGGAAATGGCAGCTGCCCAAAGAAGCCAAGTTGGGGTGATCTTTGAGCTGGCTGTGTGTAACTATGACAAACAGAATTGCAAAGCACTCTGTCATTCATCATGTCTTGCAAGTTGCTGGCAAAACCGAACTCTGGATATGGCACACTGAGGAGCCCCAGGAAATTGAAATATTTGCCTTGGGCTACTGCAGATGGAAGGAGAGCTAACAGGCTGAGCAGCACCCAGAAGTCTTCCACTTTTATATTACTACGTATACTGTCCTCCTTTGCATGCATTTGCATTTTACTTGTATTTAAAATATATACTTTTGAAGTAAAATGCTCTTGACATCTTGCATGTAATCACATCACTGAAGAAGACTGGTGCCTGCTTTTCCATTTTATTATTCCTAAAAATAGCAAGAAAAAAATCCATCATTCAAATACTCTCTAGATTTTTTTTTCCTTACTATTCTGACAGAAATTGAAAGTATCTCTTTGTCTGTTCACAGACAAGACAATTTGGCCCAAATTCAGCCTGGATATTTATTCTTACTGTGACCTGGTAATACTGTTGTTTGCTCTTACTCTAGTATCAGTGTTGTTGATCATATACAGTATAAACAGAACAACAGAACTGCATAGACTCTCCCTCCAAAACGAAAGTAGTTCAGCAGTGACTGGGATCCCGCTCAGCCAGGCTGCTGAGGTGCTTCTTGTTTCTTTTCAAGTGCTACAGTTGAAGAAAATATGACCTGCAAGGACAGAGAGAGAAGACTGGGTTATTTTAGGAATGAAAGGTTAGTCTAGGGAAGAAAGCGGAGGCATGATAGCAGCGTTCCCTAACCAGTGTCCAAGGCTGTATGAAGAGTTACAAGTGAGGGAAAAATATCTCTGGCTTTCCCTGCCCATGAGGGACAGAACAGGAGGTAATAGGCTTAAATTGCATTAAGAAAAATTCAGTCTGGGGATTAGGAAAATAGTATTAGCGTAATTTTAGGAAACATTTAGCAAATACAAATGAAACGCTAAAATATATTCTCAGGAGAGGGTATAATACTGGAACACCTCAACACTGGAAGCACTTAGTGATACAACCATCCGCCAGGAGTGAGGGAGGTGTATTTGGTCCTGTTGGAAAATGCAATGAAATAGATAAGCTTTATTTTTCTTTCTTTAAACAAAATCTCTGCCAGTGTGCCTTCCAGTGCAGCAAATTATTTCAGTACAAGTAAGGCAGAATTTACTGTACAGCCAGGAAGGAACCAGTAAATACAGCTTGTAAAGTAACTAAACTTCTTTCTCCTCATGGCAGCTGTTAGCCCAAATCTCCTCCAAGGAGAGAGGAGTTTTGCTGAGTGGCAGCTGTTAGGTGCAGCTGACTAGCTGCTGTCATGTGTGTAAAATAGGCAGCAGCTTTTTTCTTTTCTTGTCTCTCCATTCAGCAGCATCTTTTCTTCCCTTCTGTTACCTTGTCGTTCCTGGTGTCACCCCATCTGTTGCTGTTTTATAACCCACCCACAGTCCTCCCTGCCCCCCTCAATGTGCATTTAATAGTGGACGCCTGAGATTTAGACTAACACTAGCCACGAAAAGAAAACTAGGAAACATGAGGAAAAGGGAACCACACAGTTACCCAGTCTATCTTTAGGTGGGTTATTCCCACATTTACCTTGCACAGCTAGATGGCCAGTGTTAAATATAAAAACAGGCTTTCTCGTTGTCTTCCTTTACACATCCAGCCTGTTTACAGTCATCAAAGAAGAAGCAGAGTACAGATTTCAGGCTGTTTAAGTTTAGCTAAATTTTGCACTAAGAACTGAAGCTAGTGCAGAAAGCAATGAAAGTATTAAAAGGAATCTGAAGAAATATGGCTTCTAAAAAGTGAGCTGGAGGATTGTTGCAAGGATTTTGTTTTGTTTTCTCTGCATATGCCTTTTGTATTGATATTTGGTTGCAAATTGTGATGATGGTATGCAGTTGACATATGCAGTTCACATTACTACTGCAGTATTGAAACGTCTTATGGTTTAAGTTTTCACCCATGTCTGTAGTATGTTATGTGTAGTTAGATGTAGTCATCCTATTTTTGTGTTTGTCGTTGCCTGGTTTCTTTTGCAACCAATATTGCCCGTGCTGCCTCTAACCTTTACACAAATCTCTGTTCCCCAGGCATTCTCTTCCTGCTTTTACCTGTCACGGCTTGCTTTTAATAATTGGCAAAACCTGCATGATACCTCACTGGGAAAGGCTACTCGCTTCATGCTATGGGAGATGCCCCACTTCATAGTTTGTTGTCCTGTAATTCTGCAAATGTTACAATGCTGCACTTTTTTTGTGTGTGTCTCTGTAAATGGGTGTTCTCAACTTTCTGATGAGTCAAAAATGTTCTTTAAGACTCTTTTTGCACCAAGCTGTCACTCATGCCAAACTAAGTAAGCTTCAAGGATGGAGTGGATATATCTGTGCATAAAAAGAATTGGTTTTGTAAAATGAAAGTTAACCTTCAAAGTTCAGTCACCTGTAGTTTAGAATTAAATCTTCATGTCCACTGAACATGTGCCGTTCTAGTCTATGGCACTGGATGCTCATTCTGTTTCAGTATACTCCATTTCTGCTTTTCCCAGTTTTGGATACTTTGGATAACTTTTGGATATTACCTGCTATCATGCGTTCTATGGGCACATGTAAATTCATACGTATGTATACATGGGCTTTTCTGGAAACTTGCTATGTCTTTATTTGCTCATTATTCTGTATTTGTGCATTTGAGTATTCTTACCTAAATGCACTAAGTTCCGCTTGCCTGTGTTGTGTCCTATTTCTGAAGACCACATCTCCAGCTCATTGAGATCACTTTCAGTACTAATCTCTGCCAAATTCTCTGACAGGTATTATATCTTATGTTCTCCAGTCCCTGAAAACTTTCTCTGTAATGGTTGAGAAGTAACTGCTGAAGTGGGAGTTCAGTGGTATCCATCTGTACCACAGAATGTTATTAAAAATTTATAAATGAGTCATTGAAAGTTTGGAAGTTTGGTTGACCTCTCTTCAGAATCCTTCTCATTCTCTGTAATTCTATACTTTCTATAGAAAATTTGGCATCATTAACCAACCATAAAACTTTCAATTAAGAAAGTTTACTGTTCCCCCACTCTTTTTTTGAGATACTTTTGTTCATTGGATGTGGATATTTTCTGTGTGTGTCAATGAAAAGCCAAAGAATTTCATAAAACTTTGTTCCAATTTTTTGGAATCTTGATAAGCAAGACCTGATCTGCAAGTTGAAAGTCTGCAGAGGGATTTATATTGATAAACGAAATTCATCGGAGGCCCTTATTTCTCTCATGATCATGTGCAATTTGGATGGAAGGAAGAGATTTAATTAAATTAGCAGCTCATCTCAAGCAAGAGTCTTTTCTGTTTTTATTTTGCTTCTTGATCATATCAAGAAAATTAATTAATAAGATAGCAGTGGGACTACCTAGGCAGTGACTATACCATGCCTCTTGGTTAAGCAATTCATGTATCTTAATAAAGGTGTACCTTAATTTACCATGGTAAATTAATCTTGGTCTACAGATTTAGAGACACTGACCTTTACAGGAAATCTGCTTTGGAAGCTGAGCTCTGCTGGCGCAATATTGCAGAAAAATGTCAGTTTTCTATCCCAGTAGGAAAAATATGTATGCATCTTTGTGTCTTTCTCTTGGAGGTATTAGATTTCTTTCTTTTTTTTTTTTTTTCTCCAGTCATGTAGTTTTGCCCCGACAGTCCCTGGTGGATATGGACTTGCTTGTATCAGGTGGCTTTCAGACATGGGTGAAACATGTTGTCTTTCTAAGCTACATTCTAAGCTACAACTGTTGTCCCTCTTTGTCACAATCCTGTACAACTGTCTGTCTTGCACTGGAACAGCTATCGGTGGATCAACACCTTTGCCCATAATACTCACCCAAGGATATGTGTCAAGGCTGTGCCACTTTTCTTTTTGTACTGTCTAGTGTCTTGATGTCCAAGAGTTCTCTGTCCTAGACCCAATTTTCTGGGTTGTTTATTTGCTGTATGAAATTATCTTTCAGGACACTTAATGATCAGCATCTAAGAGAAGCAGGATAGATGACATCAGTGATTAATCCTGTCTTGTCCTTTCTAATAATAGTTTTTTCTCTCCTTCCCAAGTATTTTTTACCAATATTGATGTCTTTAATTTCCCTTATCAAATGGGTTTTGTGTGTCAGACACACAAAAAAAAATATAGAGGATGCTTTTCAAAGAAAATGGCAGAGTAAAATTTGATAGGATGATGCAACATCAGAAATAGTGTCCTCAACTGCTTGTCACATTTAAATGTCGCTTTGTTGAACAAGGTTCCAGGGTTATATTCTTGGAAGAAATCTACTGGGGAGGGGAGCACCCTCGTAAAGTAATGTTCAGTAATACCTTATGAAAGAAGACCCAGGGTTTTCATTTTTTTAGTGCAAAATTGTGAGTTATAATGAGTATCTTGAAGCCAACAATTTTAAATACCTTTTTGACAACAGAATGGGTGGTGGTTATGGATCCAGTGTTGCATTTGGAAGGGATTTGCAGAGTGGGTGCAGTTCTATGTTACTGTTACCGAGATGCAAGCAGCAGCTTGATGGGCATGAAACTGCATTTCTTCTTTCTCTGTTTTGCAGAGAGGAGTCAGGACAGCACTGCAGCAGTGCTCTCTGACTCCAGTTCCACGCAGGATATGTTTAATGAGCCTGTCAGTTCTCAAGACAGCCTGAGGAAGTCTTACACGGAGAAGAGGATTTCTGCTCCCTGTGCTGATGCACTGATACCCCACAAAGAGACCCCGGGATCTACAGAGGAAAAGAGTATGACCAATTTAATAGATAGGATCAGCTAGTATATTTTAATTGTAATGTTTTTTTTCCAGCATGCATAAGTGTTGAAAAAAGATGCACTGTGAGCATTTTAATTAGACATTATTGCTGCGTGTGTGTGTGTAGCTTGAAATTAGAGCTATTTATTATTCATATAGCCATCATCCCGAGTTGCTTTATTTAAAATCCTTATGTGCTGAAGATTATCTGTTAAGTTGCTGTCTTTGTTGACCATTTGGCTCTTTCCTTCTTTCCTTTGATATTTATGCCCTTTTTGTTCTGGCCCAGTAACAGACTGACATTCGTTACCTAAAAGAGCATAAGTAGCAGAATTAGATATTTTATTCCACTGGATACTTTATCTCCATAGAGAAGTGGAATTGCTGTCTGCCACAGTTTCTCATAAAAAATATATTAGTGTTCCACATTCCTCCAGAAAAAAAATGTTTCCAAAAAAAAAGAAAATTAGACCTTCCAGTATCCATTAGCTGGAATTTCCCTCACTCTTTGTACAGTTGGATGCGATAGCTGGGCAACTGGGCTTCGTTAGAGTAAGAGGTATGGAAAACAAAACTGTTGTATTAATTTTCCCCATGCTTCTGGCTTGTGTGCCCTTTGAAACGTGGGCTGGTAAGTCTTTTCTGCAGCAAAGACTACATTTTAGTCTCTTCTGCCTTCACACATATGTGAAATAAGGTGTGTGAATAGCCTTGATTCATTTCACTGATCTCACTGGGAAAAAAGTGCCTGCTAATTATTTTTTTTATCAATGTTGCATGTATATAAAAACTTTTGTAGTTTATTTTTAATAATATTTTACTTCAGTTTTGCCTGAGTTAAGGAAATCTGTGGTGATATGTCTGTGCATGTATAGTAGTAGGTTTCAGTCTCTAAATTTATAAAATTGTGCTTACATTTCTATTAATTCGAGTAACCTTTTGGAAGTTGAATTCAATTCTTCAGATTTATAGTAAGTTGTGCTGTTGCCACCAGCTGTATATCTGGAAAATTGTCCAATGCAGTTTTGCATTAGTGATTTTTATTAGAACAAATGTTATATCTGAAAAATACTTTCCTGACTTAAATATTATTGAATATCAGAGTTAAGTATTAAAAAACTTAAATGATACCTGTATATTTTTAGGTGCACTGTATATGTATTAAATGGGAAATAGCTGAACATGCTGTCATTACCTGTGCTACATGAGCTACTAAACAAATTCCACTTGTTTGAATTGTCTAAGGCATAATTAAATTACAACAAGATCCAAAAGTAAGGCAACCCCTTTGTAGACTAAAGGCTTATAGAGTTGCCATATATAAGGTACTTGACAAAAAATATTTTTAAGAAATGCTTGAAGATTCACACCATAATGCTGTCTGTGAAGTGATGGTGAACAGATTTTTTTTTTCAAGCATTTTTGAATATTTTCTGGCCTGGAAAACATTATTGTCTTCAAGTTCAGCTTTATCAGGGAATAGGCTTTAGCAAAGTAATCCTTGTTTAGTGGCCCATTGGGAGACAGAGTCTACTGCAAGAGGTTCATTATCCAAGCAAAGACAGTAAAAGTCTGTGACAAGTTTTTCTTCTGCTCCTGTTCTCTTCCAACGCTGCATACATTGCGTGCCGGATAAGCTGACTCGGGGAAAAGTCCCGAGGAAAGACGGCAGAGAGCTCAGTACGTGGCTCTGTTAATGAGCTGAAGATGAGTTCTTTATTAAACACCAAGAGTAGTAATACGCTTTCAAGTTCGAAGCTGTGCAGCAGTGGGATAATTCTGTGTATACAGTCATACAGTCTGCTGTTAATGTTCTAGTTACAGGAAAGTCGAAAGAGCCGCTGGAGAACTCAGAATCTCACCATTCTGCTGAGCCCGCCGGCCAAAAAGTTCTGCTGGATGCTCAGTCTGCTTCTGGCAACCCCACCAAAGCTGCGATCCCCCCACCCTCCCAGGGGGACTGCAGAAGGAAACCTGAACCTTGTGGAGATGCATCCGAATTTCCTCAATCCCTTCCAGCAGACCTCGAGGAGCAGCGGAAGCTCCTGACCGAGCAGTGCATCACCTCCTTCTGCCTCTGCCTCAGCCGCTTTCCCCAGCACTACAAGAGCCTCTACAGACTGGCTTATCTCTACACATACAGCAAAACACACAAGGTAAGACAGCCACTGATGCAACAGCTGGTTGGTTTCTTGCCTGAGTAAGTAAATCATCTTGCCATTTGTGTTGGTTCAGGAGTCGCAAGATTAAAATGCAGTTTGTTTACTCCAGTTTGGGTTGAAGCTCTGCTTTGGAAAGTTTGCTGCTCCTGCATTGTTTATGATTCATGTGCAAGACCCAGATGAGTAGGAAATTCTTTTTTTTTTTCTAATTGAACTAATTTTTTTTGTCATTCAGCAAAGAAATAGCCTTCAGATATATCATGTGTGATGTTCTTGTAAAAATGGCAGTAGCTATTTATTAAAAAAGTGGACTGAAAAGTGACTTGAAGGCAGAAATTCATCTGTATTCATGTAAAAGCACATCATGTGACACAGACATGCTTTCTGGGCATCTTGGATAATTTTCTATAGAATGAAAGTTTCCCTAGTGCCAGATCAAAGAAATAATTGCCTTAACTCACATAAGGTGTTAGTCTGGTCTTTACCGTGTAAGATTTGATGGTTTTGTGAGTTTGTAGCAAATAAAAGCACTAGATTTCTTGCTGCATTTGTGGCGTCTCATGTTACTATATAGTTTAGGGTAGTGCATCTTAGTCATAAGGAAATAGAGTGGTTTCTCTGAAATGATACTTTTTAGTCAATCAGCAGTATTTTCATAGGACTCTAAATGGATTCCAGTTTGTTTTGAAAGGACTATTATGGTGCAATCCAGAAAAAGAAGCTAATATAAAGCTACCATTGAAATATAATTATTATACATCTACCTCCCATCATACAGTTGGGGAAGGCCCAAGATTTTAACACCTACATGCATTCTATTCATCTCTTAGGAACATGTGCTTTACCTAATACTGTGCAGAGGGTTAGTACAGCTACCTGATGACTGTTTAGGTATAAAATCCTAACCATTTCTGAACAGTTGTTGAACTAAGAAATGGGGCTTGACAGAAATATGGCTCGAAATACTCAAAAGTGGAATACTGCCTTTTTTTCTTCTGCTCGTTTGCTTTGTATTTTTGCCTTGAATATGACGATTATTTGCTGTTTAGAAATCATAGAATGAAAGTCAATCAGAAATCCTGCTGTGCACAGACCTGTGATAGTGGTTTAAACAAGGCATAACCAAGGCAGTGACCAAGTCTTGGTCACTGTAATAAATGGTAGCTGGATATCACTGCAGGAGTCTGGTAAAATCTGCTGCATGTTGATGCTATAGAACTTGCTCTGCAGGAAGTGTGATTTTTTTTTCTTTTTGTATTTCTGCTATGTTAATCCTTTGTCTTTCTGAAATACTAGTTAGTTAAATGTATACGAACTGTAAATCCAGATTTATCAGTTCCTTGACTAATAGTAAATCAAGTTTTTTTTAAAAAAAACTTGACAACAAATTTCGTACTTGAAAATGTTGTCACCTTGCATCCTGCAATGCATTTCTCCCTGAATTCTCTTCCCAGCCTGTATCAAAGCTTTTATGAATTGAATTTTCCCCCCTGTATTGCAGGACTGGAAACAAATCAAACCACTTAGTACCTATGATAGAAAACATATCAATAGCACTGCTTCAAACTGAGCAGCAACATGTATCAGCGATCAAGCGGACGATGTTGAACATTCATTTTGCTGTACAGTGATTATCCAGAAAAATATGACCATTTTTTTAGGAAAACTTGTTTTGAAACATTTTGATGCTGTTTGTATGTGACAGTTGTTAATTTCTTCATGGAGCTAATCATTAAGAGGAGCTGCGGATTCTTGCAATCTGTCATTACGGTTGCTGACAAATGATTGTGTATCAACATTCAAAAAGAAAAGCTGCTGTTTTCAATTAATTGATTCAAATAGCATGTCCTTGCCTGAGGAAGTACTTGCAAAATATTTTCTTCGGTTTCTTTTCTCTTGATGTCTTTCCTTTGCTCTTCATCTCTTTCTCTGCATGGAAACATAAACTTAGTGATTTGTGATGTTTTTCAGCATGAAACACAGTGTTGTCTAAATCTCTCTCCCTTTGGAACTCAATAAACTTGAATCTTGCCTGTTTGAGGCCAGTAGTTATCAGATTAAACTAGGACTGTTGGGTTTTACTGTCCTTTTAAAATTAGTTTTACTGCATGATAAACAACCACTCAGCAGCATTAAAAAAATATATCTTCCTGCTAATATAGATATGTACACTGCAGACTGGCACGAAGTCATAATTTTCTTTCTTAAACTACTGATTCAAGTTTTTTCTTAGAGCAATGTCAAATATCTGTGATACCTTTGACATTATGATACCCTGATATATCTTTGGTGGGATTTTTATTGCTAAACAAAATTAAAACTCAAAAGGCAGCAACTGCAGCAATGACGAGTGTGAGAAGAATACTTGGATATCCTGCTAACAGCCCACCCCATGCCACCCCACCAAAAAAAAAAAAAAACCTAGATAGATCAGGTTGAGTTGCTGTTGAGGCAGACTAGATTGCTGGTAAATTTTAGGAAGCTGAGATTAATTTTCAAATACATATAGCCGTGTTGGAAAATTCAGCATTTATGTGCCAGTGCCAGGAATTTCTATGAAGAATTTAGACTGCTGGCCAAAATTCGTGGTTGGCCAGGAAAGCAGAAGATTGGCAGGTCTCCACAGGGCACAGAACAACAAGCTTTCCATATGCAAGCTGTTTTCTCTCATGTTACACTATTACCGATTTTGCTGATCGGCGATTAGTAAAAATAGCAATTGGGCTTTTTTTTATTCTTTTAAACATCCTTTTGAAAATATTTCAACATTTTGGCTACGCATTCTGTTTTCTTCCCTCCCATCCCCAAAATTCTGCTTACTCTTTAGAGGCCGTTTCTCTTTGTATTATTCTGTTATCACAGCAAATTTGTACATAGCTGCATTTTTCTCATATCGACTAAATGTGCAAGAAAGCAAGGGTGAATTTTCGGAAGTTATTTCATTGCCAGTTTAGGCAGTGCTTTTAGTTTCACATTCACCTTGTCTGTCTGGCTTGAAGAGCATTCTTTGTCCTTTGTGATCTTAGATTTTTATTTCCAAAATGGCAAGATGTTGTTCATCACTATGATTAACAAGTTCTGGGAAAACTGAATATTTGCCTTCTCGTCATGGCTTGGTACATAGAGTGGATCTGATATTATTCAACCAGCAGATTGTCAGGAAATAAAAGTACTTATAAAACTGTTTTTTTTGTGGAACAAAAAATACTTTTCAAATCCTTGAAGATGCTTCTCACATATATTGTTTGTATGACTTAGTTTCTCTTCATTTGGATCTGCTATTATGCCTTCTATTAACAGAGCCCCTAATGATTTTTAACAGTTATTTGCTAGCATCATGGTGTAATATCAGTAGTAGAAAACTGGAATACTTGACAAACTGGTACTGTTCATTAGTTGATCCCAGTGTACTCTCTGAAGGGTGACAACTGACCTGTTTTGTCAAGTAATTAAAAAAAAAATAGAAAAAAATCCAGTATCATGCTGTGCATTATATAGCTCTTAATACTATTTCGGGTGAAATGTCCTCTTCTACATTTACAAGATGAGGTTATGAATTTTGGTTCATCAAGACATTATGAATTCACTGCCATGTTGTTCTATCTGTAGCTTTTATAATATTAATCGTTCATCGACAGGACTGAGATAGTATCATAAGCCTTAAACTGCATGAATCAGTCTAAGTCCAGAGGCCGGTAACCATGATGCGCTTTACAAGAGAGACACCCAGGCCTGCCTCACTGTACTGGGAATGTGTTTTTTGCAACATCATTTTTAGGAAGACAATGGTAGTTGTGTTGATAATTACTTTAATGTGGAAGTCTTTCTAATTGACACTACATGGATTATGTCAGGTATAATATAAAGTCAATATTGTGCAACTGTTCAGTCAAACTAGACATAATGCACACAAAAATTACCAATTACATATACACTTAATCTATAGGCACACTTACAGACAGACATAATATGTTAGCTGAATATATCTAAGTATTTTGATTAGAAACAGTAGGATTGTAATGATTCACCTAAAATGAACCTTCAAGCTCAGTAGTTTATTCTACTTTTGCTTGATACTGTTGCACTAGTTCTTAATGAGACCAAGCCTATATAACAGGCTATAAAAGAAAATAGGGGGAAGGAGTAAGGTGTATTAGGATGTTTTGTAGACCTCTCAGCAACACTTCTGAATTCCTGGGTTAGGTAGAGGTGGCTTTTGACACCATGGAGTTAAGGGATATCCATCGCTGTGGTGATTCAGATTTCCACTTTTGTGACCATGAGAGATTTTCCTTTTTCATTCTGACAATGCAGGTAAACTTTTCTGCAAGTTGCTGTCAGTCATCCTGCCTTTGACTCTTGGGGTGATGAGGATGTGGGAGGCAATTGCTGAACTGGAAAGAGTACTCTGTAATTGCCCTGAGTCAGCCAGCTAAATCCAGCACTTCAGATTGGCAAGCAGTGTGCCAAGAAGAATAAATCCCTTTTGCTATGTCCTGGCTCCCTTCACCCACTCCTAATAACTCCATCGGCCAAAAACTGAGTGGAGCAGACTGTGAAATGTAATGAGCTGAGACCTGCTCAGGCGTATTTACAGGGAATAACTGATCATGCTGATTTAAGAAGGGCAGTGGAAAATCTGTAACTACATCTTTTATTCCCATTAGTTTTGATTGTGTGAAGTTACCGTGTAATTGCTCCATTTGTCTGAAGGATCTTTTTTGCTCCTAGCTAGGTTATGGTCATGATCTTGTTCAATAAGAGCCAACGAATTATATGTAGCAAATACATGCATATGGACACTCAGTATAATGTACATAGCATGTCCCAAGAACACGGCACTACACTTAACGATATCTTTCAGTATAAAACTTAGATTCATAAATAATAACCATATCTTAACCAAAACAAGAAAATAACATGTAGACTGGGATTTATATATAGTCTGTGGCGGTGGTATCTCAAAGTTTTCTGTTTTGTTTTGTTTTGTTTTTTTAAGATAGTTTTAGCTGTAAGATTCATATGAGCACATATGAACACTACAGTTCATTAAGCTGTGAAGCACAAACATCAAGCGTTTTTTTTGTTTTTGTTTTTGTTGCAGTTCTGTTTTCAGGGTTAGTAGAATCTCCTTATGCTTCCAATCACTTCTGATTAATAAAAATTTCTGGTTTGCAGATGTGATCTCCAGCTAATGCAAATTGGAATTCGACACTGTCATTTGCCTCTATTGAACAAAGTATCTTCCCGTTTCTTTTATTTTTTCTATATTAAAACTATCATCTTCTAAAAAAAAAAAAAAAAAATCACTAGTATTTCTGAATCAGGAGAGACTGGGACATTAACTTCTTCAGATCCTTACTCTTTATATATGTGAAAACAGACTAGGTCATTATTTTAATTTAGAAGTTTAGCCACAAAAGCAATGAAACCTCACAATTCTGAATGGATGCAGTTCTTTGTGAGCTGTGGTGGTGTTGGTGGTGTTGTTGAGCTGTGGTGGTGTTGGCCATGGGAGGAGAGCTTGGGCACCCCAGAGGGGCTGCTGTAGGCAGGGGCAAGAGGGCAAGTCCAAGGGTGCCAGAGTGGTCTGTGAGGGGCCTTGGTGTATGCAGGAAAGCTCTAGAACACACTGACAATTCCTTCCAATGTTTGAGGAGAAACATGTAGCTTTGTGCAGAAAATATTTTATCCTTATAGCTATAATTTAACTTTTAACATTAAAGAGAAGAATAAGATGCATTAGATGCATCTACAGGTCAGATTTCTCTAAGTGCCTGGAGATGGATGGTGGATCTCAAGGGAATGACAAAAAGTCCAAGTCAGTTTGAAGAAAGGTTCCGCAGAGGATATCACCAAATCCAAACAGCATCTGAACCAAAGCTTTAACTATCACACAGCAGCTCCTGGGAAAATGAGAAAGGAGGTTGTTGGTTAATGAATAAAAGCCAGGGGACGTGCAGTACTTGTAGCTATGGTGCAGATGCAGAGCCTGAGTGACTCACATGCCCTGCTCTTCCCCACAGAACCTGCAGTGGGCCCGTGACGTGCTGCTGGGCAGCGGCAGCCCCTGGCAGCAGCTGAAGCACATGCCAGCACAGGGCCTCTTCTGCGAGAGAAACAAGACCAATTTCTTCAACGTAAGTTTACACCGTTGATAACCGTGGCAGCACTTTCTCAGCTGGGGCTGCTTCTTCGCGTCGTTCGCCAAGGGATGCAACATGGGATTCAACACGGGGCACTGAGCGAGCCGCCCAGAGGGTTGTGTTGGGAGGAGGTTGCTGAGATTCTCCCTGCTGAAGAAGAATGCGGAGAGGGTTTATTCCGGAGGGGCTTAAAAAAACAGAGAGGAAAGCACTAGGGGTTCCCAGTTGTATGATGTTTACCATATATTTGCTAACGATACGTGTGGTGGTTGAGACCTCTATAAAAATTCGGAGTCTGTTTCTCTTAATTATTCTCTGCTGTGTTTGCTTGGTCTCAGTGAGACTTGCGCAGCTTGGAATAAGCTGAAACTAGTTCCAAGAAATCCCAGGTGTTGGAAGGAACTGTCCTGCGTTTAGCTCTGGCAGTGGCTCCGCAGCAAGAGGCTCCCGGCACGCAGGGTGACGGCTCGGCCGTGCTCGTTGCCCCTGCGCCGCGGGGTCTGCGCCGCCAGCAGCATCTCTGCCTTGCTCAGGGTGGCTGCCCGTTGTGTGCTCATCTGAGCGCTTTCATCTAGCAAGCTCCCTGCTGTCCTGGAGACTTAAGATCTCAATGTTGTCTTTAGTATCTCCTGCTTTGCTGGGATGTGTTCTGGTTTTTATGGCTTCTGCTTGTTTGTGATAGGATTTGCTGGATGTTTTGTGGCTTGTGGTGTGTGGAAAGGGCCTGGAGATGCTCTGCCTTGTATCTCTGAGCTATGTGTCTTTGATTGCCTGTGACTGCAATGATAGAATTTAAGTCTCTGCTTATCTATCCAGTGTTATGTTCCTAGCTCTGTTTTAATATTTTTAATTCCTGTGGCATTTATTTCCATTTTGCACCTGCTAACATCCATCTTCATTGCTCTGTATGGTTTTAATTAGCACTTCTCTACAAAACTCTATTAAATGTGCTATTCTTTGAATGTAACCCTCAGCGAGGTTTAAGAGCTAAGAAATACAGTGATTCCAAACTGTATCCTGGATCAGTTTGGAAAAAAACCCTTCTATTTCATTCCGTCTTCTTTCCAAAAAGCTTGGATTAATAAATACTGTCAGCCTGACAAGGTTTAGACCCAACAGTTGTGATCTGGCTACTGACAGCATGACTTTGTACCCGTTTTTCCCTGCAGTATCTGCAAGGGTCCCACAGAGTCAGTCATTAACTCCTCAGGCTGGTGTCTTGGCTCTGATCCAACTAATACAAGTATTCACAAAGAAGTTAATGAAATTATTAAGTATTCTTAAAGTTAAGTGTTAGCTTTGCTTGATGAAGGGTAACTTGTTCGTTACTACAGGGTAAAGTGTCAAGAGCATTCTAGATTTTCACATGTGAGGGAAGCAAGCGCTGAAGAACGAAGCAATGTGTGTAAAGGAGTGTTTCTACTTGAAAATGTGAATTACCACATTAGGAGAGACCAGTGGTTGACGTATTTCACATCTAATTTTTGTGCATCAAGGTTAGAGAATTTAATTTAAAGATAGATGCCATCATCTCCATACTTGGATGTTTCCTGTATTTTAAAAAAGTGCTGTTCCTGACTCTAGATAGCAATCTCTTTTTACACTGACGGATGAAAATGCTAGTGCAGATACTAGACACCTGTGCAATATATATTTTTTTAATTTTACAAGTATTTCCCTTAATTTTATATTAATTTTCTTTAATAAGAAATAAAACATTTTGATGTAAAAGATAATCTTCAACAGAAGGTACACACCAGTGCAGCATACAGGTAGTACTGTGAGAAAATGGTGAAAATGGTGCGCTTGGCTTTAGGTCTGCCAGTAGATGAAGACAGTGCTAGTCAGGAGTCCTTTGTGCAGAAAGCTGCCTCCAGCCTGGAGGCGCTTCAGCCTGGGGACGCTCGGTCTCGGGAGCGTCTCAGCTCTGGTGACAAGTGTAACTAGCACATGGAGTGCCTCGCACTGCCTAAAGGTTGGTGCGGGCTTTGTGAGTCAGCGCTAACGTCTTGACTTCTCCTGACGACGTGTCATGTAGTCTTGCTGTTGAACAGGCACAATATGCGTTGTGAGCTTAGTATGATAGAATATTTTGGTGTCGTTTTCTACCAGGTGCATTTTCAAAGCCCTCTTGAAATAATGCTCCGTGTAGAATACATGGCAGTAATCCAGTGCAGATGACACAGACAGAGCATAGGGAGAAAACCCAGATCCAAGAGAGACGTGTCTACAAATGCCCATGAAAAAAAAGCTGTTAGTGTCATCTGACATTCCAGAAATGTACAAACCCAAATCTGTGAACAACTTGAAAAAAAAATTGCTCACATTGCATTGATTTTGCCTGGGTTAAACCTCAGATAGTTTGTTCTCATCCAAAGCTCTTAGCCAGGCAGTGGGAAAGCAAATGTGCGGCACCATCTGGGTCAGAGCTGAGAATACAGACTCGTGTGTCATCCGTTGCATACAGATGGTATTGCAGCCCACTGTCCCCACTAGCGTCTTCACATACAGAATCAGGTGATAAAATAGAACTTTACAGAGCTCTACACAAATACACAGGCACATCTAATCTGAAAAAGCAAGTGCCCAACTTTTAGAAAGATTTCCTAAGCTTCAGGGTGGTTTTTAATAGAAACACTTTGCTTCTGGATAAACCTGAAATAAAATAAATAGTAATAATAGAAAAGTGTCTGTTATACACTTAAAGTGTTTGTTTCCATGCAATACATTTGGTTTAATTTTTTGGGAACTCTTTGCATTTCATGACATGAAAAAGTTAAATAAATGCCTAAATGGCTTTCTATAGATACTTTACTATTGAACGCCTTTTCTTTTTGAAGTAGTAGAGTTAGTGCTTTTAACCTCTCATACAGAAGATTTGGGGTTGTTGAAATTACAGCTGACTCAAACAACAGCATGTGAGAGGGAAAGCTAGTGGGTCAAAGACTAGTAGGGACTGAACCAGCCTTCTCTTTCCAGACATTCTGTAAATCATGCGTACTCCTAGTAGAATTATTTATGAAATGTTTATGAGAGCGCTGTATGAAAAGAAATAACCTGGGGTAAAGCTGTCTCCTCTTAAATTTTACTGCAGGACTGCAGGTCTGAGTCTGTGTGTCCCATTCTGTTGCCTAATTTTTTAGCTGTCACTGAGCTATGGCTAAAATTTCTTTGAAATTATCTGTTGCTGGCTTCAGGATGAGAGGAAAAAAGGCATGTTTGCTTAGTCCGGATACCTTCTTGTCTGATATGCTAGAAGAATGTCAGGATGCACAGAACTTCTCTTTTGCATTCCAAGAAAAAGATGCCCTCTGGGTTACTGAACCTACTTGCTTCTCAAACAGAAGAAAACAGCCCTGATGGCAGCTAGGACCAGAGGTATCTGCATGTCCGCTGCCCTGCCCGTGATGGGGAGGAATCATTGTGTGGATGATTGTTGCACTTAGACCTGCAGGAGTTTCAGCTGTGTTTCTGTCAATAAGTCCCCAAGTCTCTCTTGGGACAGCTACACATTTCTTCATAACCTGCATGTACAAGGACTCTCCAGCATTCTTCCTATCCGTGTGTGTGTGCACATGTGTGTGTGTAAATAGAGGCTTTTATTTTCTTGAGATCTCCAGAATGGTTTCTATAGTAACTAAATTAGAAATCAATTTACCAGGAAAAAAATATATTGCTTTATATAGTAGGGTGCTTTTTTGGTTCAGATATCCTGTGACTATTAATAAAACAAAGTTAAACTCTGTGCACAGATGATGGTATTCATGAGTCTGTGGGTGGGTGGTGATTGTGGAAAAAGTATTTTGATGGCTGAGCTCAGTGTATCAGTAACTTCTCCATATGGTTTATTATACAGTATTTGTATATTCCTGGCACATTCTCAGGGGAGGAGGTAATAATAATCTGTTGTAATACAGATCTTGATGTCCATCTTTGGTAATTGTTCCCTGCATATTTTCATGTCTGCTGTGCATGCACACAATATACTGTAATTCAGACATTCATGTGCAAGGCTGTAAACTGTTAGGGATAATTGATCTCTGCCATGGAGTGGGAATAGCTCTGGGTTACTCTCCTCCTACTCATAAATGGTGTCTGTCTTCGCAACTGGCAAGTGCACTCCCAGCTCCTGGACATCTGCGACAGGGAACTTTTGTTTTCTGGGAGAAATAGCACCACTTGAATCAGATTACAGAGAACTTGAAGGTACTTTTATCTATCCATGTGTGCTGAGATTCTGTCTCGGTCTACTGAGGCTCCGGGTTTAGCCATGTATGGGGATGTCAAGAGAATTAATGGTTATTTGAGCATGTTCATGATCGGTTGCAATTTTCTGAACAAATACTGATCTTTTTAGCACTTTTAACAATCCATGTGAAAATGAGCATAAGAGGATGCCAAGCCAAGAGAAAAACAGAAGGATAAAATCACAAGGGTGTGAAGTTATTTGAGTTTGCCCTTGTTTTTAAGTTTCTATTTAAAACAAAATAGTAACAATAGTGTAATGGTTGAATGTATTTATGCATCTTAATATGGTAGGAAGATAGAAACATCTGTTTAGGGGATGGTTAAGTTCTTCCTACTTTAAAAAATAGAACTGTCTTCAATCTTTTCAGTAGATGGCTTGTTGTTTATAACATAGCCATAAAATACTTGTGTTCTTCACTGCATATAGGATTTCAGCTCTGAACAAGATAGTCTTCCACTTAGTGCCATTCAGTGACTGCAGCTTCTTCCTGCTTGCTTTTACTGGCCACGAAGTGTTCAGAGGTTGAGTAAAAGCCATCTTGCTGATGCGCGTTTTCGTCACCTGCCGGGAAGAGCCAGCTGCTCAATGAAATGGTCTGGCAACGCAGAGAGTAGCGCGGGGCCAGCAGTGTCCTGGTGAGCTGTTAGGAGGCACTGTGCTGCCAGGGACCTGCTGGGAGGGCTGTGTAGGTCACCCAACTCCTCTGCTTATCGAGAGATAACCCGTGACCTTGCTGTACCCTGTTGGCAATATGTTGCCTTCACAGCCTACCTGCTTAGCTTGCTTTCTCTGTGATCTTAGTAAGTATTCCATTGCTTTTCCTCCACTCCTGCCTAATATCGTTATGAAACTTTTGCTCAGCTGTGTGAGGAAACCAGTTCTGTTTTGGGTAAAGAGATAGGAGTACAGAAAGCTTCTAAAGAATGAACTGAAAACTCCTCAGAAGTCCCTTCTAAACCAAACTCTTCTATAATTCTATGACTTGATTTGTAAATAAAATCAGCTCTGTGAATTGCAGCTAATTTTGTGATTATAGGCTAGGCTAAAGGACATGTATGTTATCTTAATCACTGTCTCTTCATCTTTTGCAATATGCTGTCAAATTAAAGGTTTGGGAGAATGGAACCACATCAGCTCTTCCCATTCTTTGTTCCTTGTCTTTCGTCCTTTCTGCTCTTCTTTACTTTGCTCCATTTTTCTTTAACTCTCCCTGCTCTGTGCAGCAATTGCGTATTGCTCAGGTGCAGAGTTCCCAGCACCACAGAGCACAGGGGAGCTCATACCAACTAATGCGTGTCGCCTGCCTGCAGATTAAGGAAGGTATGTTTGCCTTGGGTAAGCAGAATTTGTATTCAGGAGGGTATTGTTGCGTCAAATCTAGTAACTTTTTTTTTTTTTTAATTAAAGCTTAGATCTGGGGTAATTTGGTTCCTTAAAATACATAATGAGGGGACAGCCTAGCCCTTCTTGGAAAACATGAATGAAGGATCATTTTTTCCATAGTAAACGTTTGGAAGAGAATTAGTGTGTTTTTCTGCACTTCTGTATTAAATTTATTTATATTAATGTTCATATTTAAAGCAGGCAGATATTTTGGGTAGAACAAGCTAGCTTTTGGAGAATCTTTATGTTTTAGTTAAGTCTATTAATTTGACTGTTTTTTGTTGTCTAGCATGGCAGATATGTTCCGTTTCGGGGCAGGGAAGGAAGTGGGAAAGAAGAAATAAACTGTGATTCTACTTACTCCTATAACGACAGTCTCAAATTTTCTTTTCTGACTCTATCCTTGGCAGTTATTCTTTGGCCAGGGGCAAACCATTTTCCTTCTTTAACCTATTTCTTTCATTCGTAAATTTAATGTAATTCTACTCTTCTATCCCCTGCCCAGGCTTTTTAAAGTTTAACTGAAAGAATGTGTTTGGTGCACGTGGATTGGTTCTGTCTCACGCAAATCTTGATGCCAACTCTCACAAAAGAGGGAAGCAAGGAGTTAACTGTGCAAGTGAAACTTTTGTAGTGATTGGACTAAGACCAGAAACTCAGTAAGCAATCAAGTCTTAAAGTTGGCTATAAAAAGCTAGATAACTTTTTCAACCTCTGCCCAGCATGTTATTTACAGTGCTTCGCTTCATTCTCTTGGAAAAACAGAACTCATCAGTGAAAAATGTCCGTCGTTCACAGAGTTTTCTGTCTCAATATATACACGCTGTTCTTTCTGGCTAACTTTGCAAGCTTCCAAGACCCAGCTAGTAAAGATGCCAATAAATCTAAATCCCTGGAGATACAAGCATGGGGCTTAAAACTATGTCTT